GATAACTTTGGTCACTATAATCGTGATATGAAATTTTCATACCGTTACATCCCTAGTCCACACGGATCCGGCGTTTTGGGAGAGTGAAACCGATATTTTTTAAAATCGGGTCCCAGAGTGGATAAATCTGAAAACGCCGCCTTTGCGTTTTCGTGTGGACAGCGAATCCATATATTTTTTGAAACGATGACGTCATCAGCCCACGTCTTGCCCCTAGTCAGACAAGTGGACGTAGCCTTAGTGTCAGTTTGATTCAGCCTGATCAGATGGAATTCTATGTATTTCACTGAAAATTCCCCAGAACAACCCAATTCCAAAGTTTTCACTTGATACCCTGAAACAAGCAAAGCTGAGAAAACGACAGTGACAATTTTTCCATGACTTCGGTGTCTTCTAATGACTGGCACAAATATCAGTTTCAGTAAACCTATGCCAACCTGTGGCTAAAACACACAGCTACATTAAGGAACACAAAATGTCTAAATTACAACAAGCTTCACTCACTGACAAATGCAAAGACTATATTTGTATCTTTGTCCTGAATTACACTCAGTCAACCGACAACTAAAGCAATTGATGCAAATGCATTTAATGTGAAAACCTTCTGTCCCGTGGATTAGTCAAGGTCTCTTGGATTAGTCAATCTGGAAATTAAATTCTACATATGAACCCAAAATACCCCACAAACACCTGTAATTTAACATAACCTAATGTGCTAGCAAACCACAGATGCAACAACAATACATGACAAAGTACAAACAGAACATAAGCTATCATAGCAACATGCTAACCATATTACATTATGCACAATTAAAAAATACAGTATTTTACTACTTTTTAATGTAATTACGATATTGTAACTACTGTCAAAAATGTATAAATATACACTAAACACTAAATGTTAAAGGGGTCATATGATGCAATTTCATTTTTTCCTTTCTCTTTGGAGTGTTACAAACACATCTACATGATAATCGAGCATGTCTGTAAATGAAATGTCTGTTTGCTAGAAATGCTAGAACTCTATCCCACACTGCTGATAAAATTAAGGCCTAATTTTTATTCTTACTGTTAAAAATTATAAAATTAACCACCCATTTAAACTGCAGACTCAAACAATAACAAAGCAATCAGTCTCAATTCCCACAAATTAATTTTCGTCAGTAACATATTCAAACTTTCAGTTAGTCGCAGGAACTTCTTCTCAAGTACATGATTTAAAAAAAGATCATGCAACAATTGGTATTTTCATAAATCAAAAGACTCATACAAAACCTCTCGGTAAGCGGTTCAAAAACCTCAGAACATCAACATTTACACAAATTCAAATGTCATTCAAAGCATCCTGGGTAAATTATGAAAATGAGGCTCCTTACCTGTGTGTAATCAAAGTCAGAGAGCGGCGCTATGCTTTTGATATAGTTGATCCTAAACTGGTCCTCTGGATTAGCGAGTGGGACGGGTGGTATTAAAGTGCTCATTGCAGACACTATGGTCTAGAAATAAAAACCAAAGGGTTATGAGCCGTGAGACCGAGATTAGATCTAGAAAACAACTTGTAGAAACTAAATCAGGAATGAGAGCGGCTCACTTACCACGATGGCGTTCTTCACATTTTTGCGAATGTCTTGAATTTTCTGTTTCTTTTCCCTGTATGTGAAAACATTTACATTTGGTCAAAAGACAGAAATAAATATATATATATAAAAGTAATAATAAATTGCAAGACTGAATTTCAAATCTCCAACTACCGGTTCTAGGAATAGCTCTTATAAAAAATATGTTCATTTTGTCATCATTTCATTCCAAAAAAACATTTCTGTGGAACACAAAAGGAGATATTTCAGAGAATCTTCATTCAGCTCTCTTCCACACAGTGACAGCTCAAAATGACAGCATCTGTCAAGCTTTCAAAATGACAAAAACTATATAATTTGTGAACCATATTCCAAGCCAAAACTTGATGTGTCATGAAACTGAGAATGAAATTTGAGAGCTTAAGCGAAGGGAAAGACCTTAAGTAACTAAAGATTTGAATTTCAGCCTCTTTCTGGCACAAACCCATCATATGACTTCAGAAGACTTGAAAAATATAATGCACAAGTCATATTAACTACTTTTACGGTGCTCTCTTATCAACATAAAAGTAGTTTGGAGCTGAACACACAGTTGCACAGAATTTCTAATTAAGCTCTGTCATTTAGATATGTTATTACAATTATTATCAGTATGCAAAAACTCTTTTAAAGAAACATGCATGAAACTTTAGAGGCCTGATGAAGATTCGGTCTGTGATTCTATGATTTTAGTCACTTCTCACTCACGTACAGATTCTGTATGAGCGCATAACGGTGATGTTGCAGTGAGGCACTAGCTGATAGCATGTAGTGCTACATCACTATCTGCTTCAGCGTGTATGAGGGTTTCCTTCGCCATGCCGAGGCTGAACACAGGGCCCAGCACTCACATAACGCCCTCACATGCACATATGTGACATCAGTACAGTAAACAGGTACTCACTCCGCATTAAACCCGTTGACATGAAGAATTCTCATCTGCTTCACGATAGTGCTTTTCCCCGATTCCCCAGCACCTAGGAAGCAAACACAGCCGTGTGAATACATGCAAAGTCTCTCAGATACTTCAGATATCACGGTGTGTGTGTTCTTCATATGTACAATCCGACATGCCAGATCGAGCTGTCAAACACGGTGCGTTTGAAAACAGCCTCGTATGGGTCTCGTATGTCGGATATAACGCCTCAAGTTTCCTCTTACCCAACAACAACAGTCGATGTGTGGCTTTATAAGCCTGTCTCTCTTTTTGCAACTGCTTCTCTATTTTCTTGTTGGCCTCTCGATGTGTTTTCTCGTCGATGCGCTGGTCTTCGGTTTTACTGCTCCCCAAACACCCCATCTTACTCCCTCGAAGCCAATCTGCGAGCAGCACCCTATTGAACGATCAATCCAATTCCGATTCCAAAGAGAGAAAATTATCCACAATAGACAGAGAAAACGGGTTTTGTTTCTCCTCCGTTACAACGTCTCAAGCAGCCCGGGCGTCATTCAGGCGACGGGATTGATGAAACTGATCACATATCGATCTGTAAGGTGGGATATGAACTTGCATCTGGATCCGTGGGTCTCTCTGAGCCCCTGCCAGGCGCTCTGCTGTTCTCTCGCCCTCTCTGTATTTTTCTATGTGATATTCTCTGCCTGTATCTCTGCTGTGGTCTGTAACTCAGCACTGCTGCCTCTGTCTGTCACACCTGGGTGAGCCCCTGCCAGGCGCTCTTCTGTTCTCTCGCCCTCTCTGTATTTTTCTATGTGATATTCTCTGCCTGTATCTCTGTTGTGGTCTGTAACTCAGCACTGCTGCCTCTGTCTGTCACACCTGGTAATGACCGTTAAGAACCAGGAAAGCTGTTACACAGTAGCGCTGACTGGTGAAACGCGGTAACGGACGAGATCGAACGTTTCGACGTAACAACGTGAGGAAAGAATGTTACACTGTAAAGTGTAGCGAAGGTGACACTGTAGCAGCTTAATGGCTGGGTCTCAAAGTCTGTCAGGTTTATACTGGGGGAAAACATCTTGGTCTAAGTTTAAATGGTTTAGGGTCTCTCAGCCTGACAAACTGAAAGTTCTCCCTCTAAATCCAGCCAACCTGACTGCTGACTAAACTGGGAGCTTTGTTCTGTTATTATACCGACTATTTTAGCACACAGGAAATTTAATTATGATGTCTGGCTAAAGGCACAACTTTCTCACTTTTACTAACCACAAAATCATCCTAAAATATTATTTCTGAGTTATTATACAACTCCTTTTAATCCAATTCACCACCAACTAGATGAGTTTCACTACATAATGAGTAATATAAAGGAAACCAACAGTTGCTTCAACAAGAAAGCCTGATTGACCTAGAAACAGTCAATATTCATAACCTTTTTTTATAATGTTAAAGGGGTCATATGATGTTGCTAAAAAGAACATTATTTGGTGTATTTGGTGTAATGAAATGTGTTTATGGGGTTTAAGATTAAAAAAAAACACATTATTTTCCACATACTGTACATTAAAGGCCCCGCCTTTCTGAAACGCGTCGATTTTTTAAAAGCTCATTGGTCTGAAAAGCGAGGTATGCTCTGATTGGCCAGCTATTTAGAGTGAGGAACGGCCGGAGGGCTAGAGTGAGCGGAGGCAGGCGGGCCTGAGAAAGGCGCGGCCGGCGGATTCAACGAAGGAGCGTCCGGCAGGCTTGCGGTTCTTTATGGAGCTTGTAACACTCCAAAGAGAAAGGAAAAATTGAAATCGCATCATATGACCCCTTTAATTATTTGGCCTGATTGTATCAGATTTAAATATTTCATTATTGCATTTGTGGTTTAGGCATTTTAAATGACATTAAGACTTAGAAATTTAGTGTTATATAAAAATGTATAATATAACAATATATACACAACATATTTATGCAAATATGCAAAATTATATAAATGTATGCAAAAAAAATACTTTAGGCCCAACTACTTTAGGTTAGGAAGACAACAAAATAAGACGACAATATTTCAACATTGCAGCAGTGTGATTGTGAAGTATTGTTCATACAGAAACCACTCTGTAGAAATTTTATAACATTTTTCATATGTCATAATTTATGTGTGATAGTTGTGCTCAGCTTTGAAGGTCTGAATTCCTGTCTGAATTATTGTTTTCAAAATAATCCACACCTGATAACATTATTAGTTTATGTAAGCCCTACTTTAACATCTAAAATCCTAACCTAGAAGTATTCAGAAACTACTGCAATTTATGCAGAATATCGATAGGTACCAATTTGTTTCACTGCACTAAACTAGATGGAAGAGTTTTTGGCAAAATTGTTGATGCTTGTATTTACTCGAGGACAAAATCTACATGTATGTTTCTGGCCTAAAGCTCAAATCTTTCAAAACAACAGACCATATTGCATAATGCTATCATTACAATTAGCTAGCCATATGCAGTTAGGGCCACGCTAGGGCCAAAGTACACGTTCAGTAAATGATAAAACCTATTTACAGGGTGACAAAGTTCAGTTTACAGACCACATACAATTTACATTGCAATGCTACAGAAAGGAGCAATACCAACTTGTGCGAAAGCATGACAACTTCTTGTTTTTGCCCCGAAAGGATTCCCTGCATGGTACAACCATAATCAAACTATTCAACACTTATAGAAGCAGCTAAACACCCCTTTTGGCTATTCACGGGTGAGGCATCCATTACAACAGACAAAACATGTGCTATATTTTAATATAGGTCAGTTAAAATAGGCTATTTTTGTGCTTTCATTAAATATAAGCTACAAGTCATGTTATTTTAGTTATAGCCCATGGGCAAAAATACCTGTTTCCTCTATTAAAAGGAAATGATATTCGCTTTAGGGCTGTGTTATCTACTACTTGATATGCCACATGTTTAAGTAGTTACAGTACAACTTGTACAAAGATATTCCCAAGGATGTGTCATTCTTCTGAACTAAAAATAACTGTACCATAAAGCTTCAAGATAACTCAGCGAGATCCTCAATTAAAGTTAATTTATAAGCCACATCTTGGATGACTTCTCTCTCTTTATAATTCTATTATCAATTTCTAAAAACTGACAACATCTGCAGCCAAGGTTGTTTAATGTAATTCTTCTTTATTTAAGGTCTTTAAATTCTTTATGTCATTTTTTTTTCATAACACTGATGTAAAACCAGGCTTCCTTAGATTAATACAAGAAAATAAATATAAGAAATGAATATAGAAAAATATGAATGCGTAAAGATCTGAAATGCCACTCTGTGTTTGTCTTCGGCCAGCTATGCCTAAATTCAACTGAGTCATGTGCCAGTAAACCATGCAAATTTGCTCGCTCTTTATAAATAGCTCCAAAAGCATTGCTGGATTCTGATTTTGGTAGGTCGGACTAGAGGAACAGTTCACCCAAAATTAGCTGAAAATGTATCCTCCTATGGATCCTCAGCGGCGAATGGGTGCCGTCAGAATGAGAGTCCAAACAGCTGATAAAAACATCACAATAATCCACAAGTAATCCACACCACTCCAGTCCATCAGTTAACATCTTGTGAAGAGACAAGCTGTGTCCGTGTCCTCTATCCATAATATTGCTTTCTCAAGTGAAAAAGTTGTCTTGTCTGAATCAGGAGAGAAATACGCACAGATCAAGCCGTTCTAAACAAATATGTGTGTGTATTTTGATGTGAGAGGACAACAGGGGATGGACTTTTTCACTGGAGGAGGCATTATTATGGATTATGGACCGGTATTTTCACCAGAAGCAACGGTTTAAAATTAAAACGTCTTAATGATGCATTTGTTTCTTATAAACGCACAGCTTTTCGCTTCACAAGATGTTAACTGATGGACTGGAGTGGTGTGGATTACTTGTGGATTACTGTGATTTTTATCAGCTGTTTGGACTCTAATTCTGACGGCACCCATTCACTGCTGAAGATCCATTTGGTGAGCAAGTGATGTAAATTTCTCCAAATCTGTTCCCATGAAGACGCAAACTCATCTACATCTTGGATGACCTAAGAGTAAATTATTTTTCAGCAAATGTTCATATATTTTGGGGTAAACCATTCCTTTAACAAGGCCTCTGACCTTCTTTATATCAAGTGCCTTTTGATATATCAGCATAAAAGATTACGGAACAATTGTAAATTCCCAGTGTGGATTAAGAAGTCAGCAGTTCATCATGTTATCAGTAGCAAAGGACAATAAATGAATGAAATCAATTGACAGCATGTCTAATCCCTTTAGTCTTAATGACTCATGCCTTTGGAAACAGGTGGTTTCAGTATACAATCAGCACAGACATCACTTAGCAACATACCACACTTTACAGTCCAGTACTAAAACATATCTGGAAAACTGATCTTTAGATAAAGGAAAATGCTTTACAGTATTTAAAACAGCTGTATAGAGTCAAATTAGGTACTCATATTTAATTTGATACTATTCAGTAAGTTTCTGTATAGTGTTATTTAAAATCAAATGTGCATGTGTGTAGTTTAGCAGGTTGTCTAGCTGGTTTCCAGCATTAAACTAAAAGACTATCAGGATATTTGCGTGAGCTCGCAGTGTCCCAGAGATCAAAGTAATAGATTCTTATATGACTTAGTATCTTATCAAAGCATCATGTCCTGGCTGAAAAACTATATGAGCTCAGTTTTATTTTCTGATATCTTACTCACTTTCATCATCACCAGATCCATTAATTGACTATGGAAAGAGAAAAATATACTTTTTAATTTTTCTTATATTTAATGGCCCAAGACTGCAAATAATACGTATAAACAGATAACCTAAACTAAATAGACAGATAAAATAAAGCATGCTTAAATAATTTTTTTTTAAGCCTGAACATATAGACGTATTATTATAAAAGTATTCTTAATGCCTTGTAATACATGTAACAATGCATTATATCTTTTATATTTTGTAATAAATAATTGTAACCCCGGTTATTATACATTATCATATTTACCTATTATACTTTTAATGCAATGCACTAAAACAAATGGCAAATCCACGTCGAATTAATAATAATAAAATAATAATAAAATATTCATAATGTACACAGTTTTTAATTGTAAATTTGACTTGATATTTTCACACATTCAGTTTTACTACTCAAATCTCATTGTTTGGAAACATTCTGCTTTTTCATAATTTATTTTGTCAAAATAAAATTTTTATTATTATATTTACTGTTAGGGCTGGACAATAATTCAATATCATTATGTATCGCGATATAATTTTTTCAATAACGGTGATATGATTTTTAAACACATTTCCGATATTTCGATATACATTACCAGTGTTTCCCATACATTGATTTATTTGAGGCGTTTGACTTCGTTGAATAAACATGAGCACTGCATGTTTCAAAATCAAAACGGGTGGCGGGTGTTTTATATGAATGTATCTCTGAAGGGAACCGACTGTCTTCAGAAAAGTTTCGATGGCATTTTTATTTTATCTGATGTTGATGAGCGGAGCTGCTTTGTTTACAGCCGTTACCGGGGAAACCGCTAGTTCTACTGCTCTCAAAGCGCCTCCTGGTGGTAGACAATCAGTTTGCACTTTTTTAATAATAAGCCCGTATCCAGCAACATGCTTTTGTTGTTGCTCAATTTTTTTGTTTTCTGAAGCAACTCGGAGCACGTTTCATAATCTTTATCCTGGTTGATGCACGTTTCAATCTATAAGAATAATCAGCCTACACTACCAGTCAAAGGTTTTTGAACAGTAAGATTTTTAATGTTTTTTTTTTTTAAGAATTCTACGCGCAATAGTCGGTGGATCACCTGACATCTGCCTGCGCTGACAGTGCAGGTCCACCTTACCGTAAAGAAACCAAAAGCCCAACCACACAAAACCAGTGGACACATATGGGGTCATCTAGGTGCGTTTTTGCTCATGTATTGGGTGATTTGTGCTTCTAAATCCCCGTTGAGGGTTCTGGACTATTTGAGCATGGAGACTGCCTTATACTCCTGAGACCCTACAGACTCACTAATGAGACATTTAATGAGCACACCTGATGTATTCCGAGTGTGGAACAGTATAATAACAAAAGTGAATCTCTAACAATGTGACTGTTATAAGTGAGACGTTTGATTGTCTAGAAGACGTAATAATAAAAATGAAACAAAAAGCTTCGAAAACCGCATTCTCGTTATTGTAAAGTTGTTTTTTTTTTGAAGTTATGGAAGTACGTTTTACAAGAAAATACTACTACAGTCTTTCTACTTAAATATTGCACCTTTTAATAAATGTTACTTGCCGTTTCTTATTAGTGAAATTTAGCTATTTCTGAGTAAAATTTTCTAAACCATTTTCAGTGTGCATTTACAGCGGCATTTTTCATAACTGTAGCCTATAAAGAAAAATTAAATTTAATCATTTAGCAGACGCTTTTATCCAAAATGACTTACAAATGAGGGTAAATAATGAAAAAGTAACAGACTGCATTTTACATTTAATCATTCTACACTAAAAAAAAATAAATAAAATAAATAATGGAGAAATAATTTCACTCAGACATTACAAGTAAATTTCCCAGATAGGGCTAATGACAAAGAAACGACATGGAACACATTGAATTAAATGTATTTTTTTTAAAGTAAAAGGCTGTAAAAAAAAAGTTCTCCAGTTGTTTTATTTGCAACTTCAAACAATAATTTTTACAGTGTATTGTGACATTTTTAAAACGACGATTTACCAATATTGACGATGGTTACACGCATGTGATTTGTAGTGAGAATATGTTTTAATAAAAAAGTGTCAAATATGATACATCTTTATATGCTTTAAAAAGAACAATAATAATAAAAATACTGGTTTTATTTAAAGATTTTGGGCCCTCTATAGGTCAAAGTAAATACATCTCAGTCTGTGACTAACAATACGCTGTATTAATGATGTCTTTGGTTATAAAACTTTTAGATAAGAGTTACAGATCTGTACCTGATATTACTAAATATTTTTGAGGAATTACCAATTACACCAGATGGTGAATATGGATATCATCTGTAATGTGTAAATATGTAGCGTACATAAATCAACAACTATTTGAATCTCAATAAAGTAATACATTTTATTTGCTTTCATTTGTTCATCTACAGTTATGAAGGCACCTCCATATGACCCTAAACTGAATTTTGTTGTCTTCTTCATACAACTTGTATAAAATGTCTATACATGTCAGTATATATATATCTGTCAGTGCATCTCCGCAGGATCTGCAAGTACAGTTTCTGAATGGTGTCATCGTTTCTTCTTTTGTGAATTCTGTAGCACTTTCACACCAATCCTCAGGAACATCAACAAACTGCAAAGACAAAGAACAAAACATAATTCAACAACCAAAACAATGCATTTGTCCATGTTAATGTCAATTATAGCCAGGGGTGTGAAGTAACGAATTACAAATACTCACGTTACCAGTGGTTCCCAACCTTTTTCAACTCGCGGCCTACACAACCAAACACATATGTTTCCGCGGCCCACTGCAAAAAAATTTTATTTTAGAATTGGCGGTTTATTTTTAAACCAATCAGCGAGCTCGAATAGTGGAAGCAACTTAACAAACAGTTTAATATTTATTTTTTATTTAATTATATATATATGAAATTAAGATATTATGTTATGACTTTTTTACATACATTTTTACATATATTAACAATATTATTATTTCTTTTAATAGTAATTGGCGGCCCCCCTGCAATACCGTCCGGCCCACAGGTTGAAGCAAGTGCCGCGTTCGATAAATTCCCCACTCACTTATGAAACGCGCGATCTGCGCTGCCTCGTCTCTCTCTCGCGTGCGTTCTGCAGCGGTCACTTGGATAAGTCGTTGTTGTTTTAAATAGGCTACTCTTTTACTCTTACTCAAGTAGTTTTTTGGACAAGTACTTTTACTCTACTCACACTACATTTTTTGGAAGGTAATGGTACTTTTACTTGAGTATATTTTTTCAGTACTCTTTCCACCACTGATTATAGCATATGTCAATATTATATTTTTTGTCTGTATGTCAACATTATGGATATCTGGGAAGTCTTTTTGAATGAAAAATTTGGAATGAATAAAAAAATCATACATAATATATAAATAACAAACAGCTAAAATAAAATATCCCTGCCTCGCTCCTGCCATGAGTCCAGCTGGCATAATCTTCCATGAACTCAAAAATCTCACTCCCATTAAAGCAGTCAGTGATCCAGAGGTGCCTTCAAATATAAAATCAAATCCCATTAATGTCATCTATGATCCTTATTCATTTTAATACATTGTGTGTGTGTGTGTGTGTGTGTGTGTGTGTATATATATATATATATATATAATACTTCTAGAAACAGAAACAGTGACTTACCCAGTGAAACCCAGATATCCTTGTCATTCTTTGACATCTGATAAGCACCAACAAATGCTGCAATGCCAAACATCAGCCCAGCAACCAGAGAGATAACACTACCTGCAGCCGGAAGCGGGAACATGAGACATCTGGCCATATTAGGAAGTTCCGGTAAAGTTCAGGTAAAGGTGCGTTAACAAAAAAATTGAGTTTCTGCTATAACAAAGTGCATTACAGTTTGTTGACAAAAAAAACTAAAATCATTAAAGTTGTACGCTCGTTACATCTATACGGTTAAAATTTGCTAAAGAAAATTAGATTTTCATTCATCTGAATTTATACTGAATTATTTGAAACGTGTTTTACATACACTGGCTACTCAAAAACTAAACCAGAATACTAAACATAGTTGTTTGTCGCATGCATGAGATCTTTACCTGCTTTAACATAACCAACAATCCCTCCTATCGTTATTAGAGCTGCATAACCATAACCAAACCAGTCCACAGCCATATCTGCACGCATGTCTAACTCTCAAATAAAACAAAAAGACGTGTTGATTGCTAGTAAAAAGCTAAAGCGTCTCCACTTTTTAACTTCCTGAAACACGGCACTAATGATTTTCAAAATAAAAGTCCGCATGTGCAGGCGAGAACTGCAGAGGTTTTTCAGATTTAAAATAATCTTTATTTTCTATAGCGCCTTTAAATGTTACATCTCAAATTGATTTACATAAACAAATAAAACAACAAGACAAATAAACAAACATACAAAAATAGAGTTTTTTTTTTTCCATTTAGCTGTAATTCAATGGTTTTTTTCCTTTACTTCTCGGCAAAATGCTCATGGTAAACAACTCTGCAGTGTTGACTTCAAAAAATGCACTGTAAATCACTACACTCTATGAAATGCAAGACATGAAAAGTAAATAACAGAAGACCGCCAATGATTTCAATAAAACTGTTTATTGCGCTTTTTGTTTTTTCTTCTTTTTTCCTGCTTTTGTAGAGCTGCTTTCTTCTAGAATCACCTCTTCTCCTGGTAGCCGCACTCTTTTACCTTTGGCTGGCTTCGGGGGCACCACAACAGCTGTTTTGAGAACACGGATATTAATACGTTTTTCCCTTGACAACTATTGCAACTCTTTTAACATGTAATTATGGTTACTGCTCTAATTCAAATCACACAGCACTCTGGATTTTTTTTGGACACACTCAACAAAAATTTAAGTATTTACAAAAATAAAAATTCTGTCATTATTTACTCACCCTCAATTTGTTCCAAACCTGTGAAAGTTTCTTACTTCTGTTGATCACAAAAGATGATGTTTTGAAGAATGTTGGTAACCAGACAGCTGCCGGTAGACAAAATAATGCTATGAAAGTCAATGGCTACCAGCAACTGGTTACCAGCATTCTTCAAAATATCTGCTTTTGAAAGAAAGAGACTCATACAGGTTTGGAACAAATTGAGGGTGAGTAAATAATGACTTTTCAATGACTTTTCATTTTTGGGTGAACTATCCCTTTAAGGTGAGATCACATTAGTGAATTTTTAGCTATATTTCGCAGACTAAAAAGGTCTATATTGTCAAGCTCACACAGAAGTCACTCTCAAACCAAGCAGCTTTCTGTCGGTCAAAGCATTAAATTCATGTGACCAACTTGAACCCATTGCAAAATCTTCTCGAAATTCCCACTAGGATGGATTCCTATTGAAACGACTGGATTTTGCCTGTGAAAATTGGCTGAAACCATGATAAATGTAACCGCACCTATAGAAGCTTCAGGCTGGGCAGATTGTTCAGTACTCGTCTCTTTCGCTTGACCAGATTTCCAAATGGAAAGACAGGTGAGTCTGGCAGTGGTGTTCACCTGGCCAAGCAGGGAAGGAGTCTCAAGGTTCTGTATGTGGAAAGAGAGAGTATAAAATACTGATCAACCAAAATGAAACCATCAGGCCAAATTATTTTTATGTCTAAAATGGTTCAGCTCAAGGCTAAAAAACACTTGTGTCTGTGTGTTACAGTTACTAGCAAAGAAGATCATACAATACCTCAAGATTGAGTTTCCACAACTTAATGAATCCATCATTTGATGCCGTAACAAGGACACAAAAATCATCCTTCATGAAGCTCTCAATGGCTTTTACTCTGGGGGGAAAAAAAACATTAAATTAATTAGGGATGTTCATTTCGGTTATTTTTCCTAACCGACAACCGACGCTCGTTAACCGATTGTTAACTGACAAGATTATTTTAAATTATAATTGAATTAAATTAATATGTAGTAAAATCTGTTAAGCCGTTAAGTGTTATCACTGTACCGCCGTGATGTTAAACATTTTGTTTTACGTGGATTACATTGGAACGTGAGTGAAGTACATAATAAGTAATAATTTGCCATTCAAATACATTGCGAATACGGAAACATTTGATACTTGGTTCCACTTGGTTTTTTTCCCTCTAAAAAACTAATTATTTTATACGCGTAGCGTATTTTAACCATGCAGCAAACCATTTTAAATATTTTGATAAATTACTGAAAAAATAAATAATTAAATGACTTTTTAAACCGTTTAACTGATTGTATTAATCGGTCAAAATTCTTACCGTTGGTTAACCGGTTAAAATGAACATCCCTAAAATGAATACAGTAACAAATATAGCTGATCTCACTCATTTTACAATGCATTCTGAGTATTTCAATGCACTAGAACAATTTTGATGAAAAGACAGACCTAGAAATGGCCGATTCACTTGGATTAGGATGCAGCCTTAAAGAAAGGTTAAAAAGTGGCAGTCATACCTGTTCTCATGTGCTTTGAACTCGCAAACACACTTCTGTGAGGTCACGTCATAGATACACACGCTCTCATCGTCTCCTCCCACAGCCAAGAGTGTGTTCTTGAAGAGACATGCAGAACAGAGGCTGGAATAAGATTTCTTTGCAGTAGAATCAATTGATCACGTTACATTTGACAAACCAGGGAAGCAACATTTTAATTGCAAGCTAAACTAGAACTGACTTAATAGATATATCTGTTCTCTTGCGACACCGATGAGACTGATCACCTTCAGAAACTTCACACATGAAATCCTTTGTGTGAATGCAATGGTTCCAGTAATTGTGGCAGATTTTAGAATGTAAATGTCCACTCGATCATTCCCAACCACTGCATACTGATCTCCGTCTGGTGACCACAAGACGATCTCTGCATCTACAAAACATTGTTACACACAAGTTTTGATTTAACTGAGAAGTTTAACTTTCTCAATATAATACAATAATTCTATAAAATAATTTATAAAACAAGGAAAAACAAGGAAAATACAGAATCAGAAAGTATATCTTATTATAATCTCACTTACTCTGTTTAAGATTCTTGATGAAAGCTGAACGTCCTTCAATGAGATTCCATGTTCTACAATAATATTACATTTTGTCATTAAAAGACTTGTATAGATTTGTTGAACCGCAAACCAAGCCCAATGATATTTATTACCATTCATACACAAAAATTAAAACAGCTTAACTTAAAGGGGTCATATGATGCGATTTCAATTTTTCCTTTCTCTTTGGAGTGTTACAAGCTCTTGGTGCATAAAGAAGATCTGTAAAGTTGCAAAGACTAAAGTCTCAAATCCAAAGAGATATTCATGACCCCTTTAATTTACAGCTTAACAATCTGACCAGGACTTTTGATATTCATGTTAACATCTGTGTACTTGCCGCAGAGTCTTGTCTGTTCCGACAGAGAGCGCGAGTTTTCCAGAAGGGTGTACGGAAAGTGAAGTAACATGACCCCTAAACAAATAAAACACAGATTGAGTCATTTTTACACTGGATAGGCATTTGAGGTCAGCAGGATTCTTCACATTTTTGCAAGTTTCACCATCGATGCATTTATTCAAAAAATACAGTAATATTGTGAAATAATTTTACAATTTAAAATAACTGTTTTCTATTTAAATATATTTTAAAATGTAATTGATTCCTGTTATGAAAAGCTGAATTTTCAGCATCATTACTCTAGTCTTCAGTGTCGCATGATTCTTCAGAAATCATTCTAATATGCTGATTTGCTGCTCAAGAAACATTTATTGTTATTATCAATGTTGAAAACAGGTATGCTGCTTAATTTATTTGTGGAAACCATGATATCTTTTTTCAGGATTCTTTGATGAATAAAAAGAATTCAAAATAACAGCATTTGTTTGAAACAGTTTAAAGGAGACATATTATGCCCCTTTTTACAATATGTAATATAAGTCTCTGGTGTCCCCAGAATATATCTGTGAAATTTCAGCTCAAAATACTCTACAAATCATTTATTATATCATTTTGAAAATGCCTATTTTGAGTGGAAGCAGAAACACGCTGTTTTTCAGACCGGTCTCTATAAATGCAAATGAGCTGCTGCTCCCCGCCCCCTTTTCCAGAATAGAGCTGCACCATTACATCTCGTACCTGCTAAAAAAACATCTGTTTTGGTTCTGATTATCATGTTTATCGCGCTGAAATCATGCGTTTTAAACCATATTAGTTTAAACTTCTGATATATGGTTTTCTGAGCGCACATATCTGAAGCACACGGACAGAAAGCAGCTGTCACAGCATGTGAGTACTAAACTAAGTTCTCATTCACACACAAGTTTACGTTAAAAATACACGTGTTACAAAAACAGTCGGTTATGTCTGTAAAGGCAAACAGCTGGGAAATAAATCGCATGTTTATTTTAGATTGTGTAGCAGCAGCAATATACATTAAATAAATCAATAAATCCACTGCTCTCTTGTCTCCTCTGAGGCTGGGACTCTAAACAGTGTTCTGTGCTCATCTGTGCAGCCAAAGACAGAACAGTTAGCATGTTTTGCTCAAACTTTCGCCATGGCATTAGAACTAGTACACTGTTGTCGCTTGCAAAATTAAAATGACGGCACCGTGGGTGGAAACTTACAGATTAAGGGGCGGTAATATTATAATGAGATCCCTTTGCCACGTCACCAAGGGAGCGAAATCAGACGCACTCGTTTTTTAATCTTTTTCATGTTTCCTTGGTTGGTAGATACACCGGGGACCTGATTATAGCACTTAAAACCAGTGAAAGTCAGATTTTCATGATATGTCACCTTTAAATCTCTTGTAACATTATAAATGTCTTTACTTTAATACATCCTCGCTAAATAAAACTACTAATTTCTTTAGAAAAGTTTTGGACGGTAGCATATTTTGTGTGTATTTCAGATCACTTACTTATGAGCGTTGAGAGATTTCAAACATTCCCATTTTTTGGTGCTCCACACACAGATGAGACCGTCCTGTCCTCCGCTGAGTAAATGGGACGTGCCATAAAACTCCAGACACGAGATAGTACCTGCCGAGAATGTGAGCTTACCATTTATAACAGTATATGACAACACATGAGACTGAAATATCAGTGATGCAGAATCGTTGAAGCCAAACTCTCTTTCGGTCCAATCAAAAACCAAAATAAACTTAAAACCAACAGAAAATATTGCAAAATGTCCTCCTCACCATTATGGTGCAACAAAGCCCCATGTTCAGTTTTCTTGCTCATGTCATAGAGCTGAATGGTTTCATCTTTGCTTCCAGTGGCGATGAACTGATCACTGGATGAAACTGCAGTCAGTGATGCTGTGTGTGCATGATGGGTAAAGTTGGGCTCAATTGCCCACTCCTAAAATAGACATAAAAAACTTTAGAATTAAGATTATATTTAAAATAAAGTCTAAATAATTATTAGAGTAAGTTATAATAATAATAATAATAATAATAATAGGCCTGTTTGTAAAATTATGACAGTTTAAATACGGACCAATATCAAAATGATAATGCAAATGCAAACTGAAAAAAACTACATTTAATATTCACTATGAAAACAAATGAAGATTCTATCAATTAACAGAATTAAAGTTTTGAAAAATGATAATTACCTCGTCACCAGGACACACTCGATATCCAAATACTATCTGCTCATAACAGCCAGCGACCAACTCGACATGATCCCCCATGACTGTAAAACACGTGTTCATACAGTTACATACGGCCTGTCCCTCATTAATATTTAATTGTTAATAAATCTGTTGTACCTATGTATTACACAAGACTAAACGCTTTAGAACGTAAACCACGTCTTCTCATGTCCACAGCAACATGTAGGGAGACGTGTGATCGCTCCTTTAAGGTCCACCGGAAGTGCGATATTTCATAATAAGAGTTCCTATTAAAATAAAAGTCAATAGGCATGTCGTCCAAAAGATAGGGGAGAACAATTAATATAAAGTTAGAAAAACAGGAAAAAGGTTTGTACCTGATTGTTCAGCATTGTTGAGACCTCATGCATTATGCCAAAGATGAAAACAACTTATGTACATGCATAATTCCACTTTTGAAATTCAAGTGATCAAGTAAAGAAATTGGTTAAAATACAAATTCAGGCCACTCGTTTCAGGTCAGTCATTTGTTTCCTACTATAGGGTTAAAATTATATTGTATGAGTAACAAATGTAAGCTGTTTTTCATCACTGTTTGTAAAGAATGAGCAAACATCCCATTTACAAATTAGGTAAATCCCCAAAATACTGTATAAAACCATGCCAATCATCTGGCTTCTAACGTTTGTAACTGCAGAGAACTAAATTGTAATTAAAATAAAAATGAAAAAGAACAAATCAAAGTTTTGGCTGGAGTGATTTTAAGCTTTTGTCCTGCTGTTGAAGATAAAGAAAGATCTATCTGTAGTCATTTTCATGGGTAAATTAATATAATTCAATCAAAATACATATACATACATAAAATCATTCTAAAAATATTAAAATGAGATGGAATACTATGAGCGAGCAAACTTTCTGAATTATTACACTTGTGTTTTAAAAACAAACAAATCAAATTCATTCTGCACAGTGTTGTGCAACACCAGCGACTTCTTTGAAATCATCTGCTGTCTATCGATGTCAATGCCAAGCATGTAAACCTCTTTAAAATGCACATGGAACACACTGTATCAGCAAAATACTCTCTCTTTGAAAATAGCTGACATGATGTAAGGGTTAACGGGAGATTTCCATGACAAATTCATATGATGTTTTTCAACCTGAGATTCAAAAGTCGTTGCCTCACGACCGAGGCATTGCTTACAGTAGAAAAGTTCACACGTCTTCCTATATGTTCTAGGAAGAAGTACTTACACTGATTTTGCAATTGTGCACTGGACTACATGGCTTCCACTTAAACGGCGAGTCCTAAAATAGGCTGCAACCTAAACCTGAGAGAACAGTTTAGATGTCTTTCATTGAACGATGCATCAGGCATAAGCTACTGCGCAGGCTTATTAAAATACGTCAACTGGCCATGAGGGTTAGATATCAGTGTCTAACATCCTACACCTCCTGTGCCAAACTTTGCCAATTCAAACCAAGACTCTGAAGAAAAGGAGCCTTTAAAACACCCTATGGTTTGACGGTTTCTGTTCTCTCACTTCATTTTTGCACCGTTTGGTACAGTGAAATAAAGTCCAGTCCTCTTCTCAAATGTCAATATTTTAAAACTGAGCTCTATGTCCACATCCTGTCAGGTTGAGCGATTGCCGCTTACAAAGTTGTAGACCAAAAACTGAGAGGTTCCACAGTAATGCGTTGCGAAGAGTTTGCCGTCAGGCGTGGGATCGGAGAAGGCGATTTCGTCTTTACTTAGATGAGACCCATAGATGAAATTATTCCTGGAGGAAAAGAGGAGTAAACATTTATGCATTATTGTGTGTAACACTTTACTTTCTTGAAATCTGTAGAAAGATTTGTAGATCTGTAGAAATCTGAGGATTTTTTTAAAAATATATATTTTTATGCTCACAATAACAGAAAAAAAGCATAAAAAGGCTTTAATAAAACATATTTCAAAAAAGAATAAAACATATTTCATGTTTTGAAATACTTATCAATTTAAATGATTAAACATTTTAATATATTTTAAAATGTAATTTATTGCTGAGATGGCAAAGCTGAATTTTCATTCTGATATGCTAATTTGGTGCTCAATAAATGTTTATTATTAATATCACTGCTGAAAACATTTTTGTGGAAACAGTGATACATTTTTTCAGGATTTTTTGTTGAATAGAAAGTTCAAAAGAACAGCATTTATTTGAAATAGAATTTTTCTTTACTGTCACCTTTGATACATCTAATGCATCCTTACTGAATAAAAGAATTAATTTCTTTAAAAAAATCCTAACTTATTTTAATATAATTATTTTCATAAATAATTGCATTAAAATGGTACATTTACACCTTTGACAGTATGAAAGTAGTTGTTGTGTTTTAATGCATTATAACTACCAATATTTACATAACACATTATATCTGTGCTTACAATTACTCATAAAAAAACTCAACCCTTTACCTGAGGCACTCGATCATGCGTGAGGCGATGCCTCTCCGTCTCATCATGCTGAACACCCAAATGCGACTGATGCCACAGAGCGCCGGCTCAGGTACAGTAGAGCAGCACCAGGCCCTCTGACGCTCGTACATGACCATCTCTCCTTCTGAACCCTCCAGCCCGGACTCTTCTATAACCCTGTATCCCTGCACATCGCAGCCAAAACAAACCCATCAGATGTACAGACTAAGATGAACATTACACAAAGACATAGCACCTTACAATGACTTCAATTAGTTGTCAAAAAGTCCATTTGGAATATGCAAGTTTTTCACATTTTCTGTGCTAATTGAGAGAGAAAACCAGTGGAATTCTGATAAATGGATTTAAATAATGTAAAATATAATAAAGTATATTAAATGAGCTTAAGAGTATTGTACTCCTATTGGTTTCTAAAAAATATGGCAATGAATTTAAGAAGATAAAATGCAAGATATACACCTATAAACATGCTATTAAACACCTGTATGCTCAGCTGACCTCTTGAATGTGCTCGGCGATAAGGCAGCCAGCGACTTTCTTATCATTTGAAATGAAGAGGAAGGTTTTGGTCTGTGACGGGACCTTGGTTTCCACTTGCTGGAAGCCCAAGTCATTGTCCACCATTTCTCTGATCTCCTCAACCTCAAATCAAACAAGACAAATATTAGAAACAGGCATCATATGTATCAGGAAAGCTATTAGAAATCTCGAAACAAGTACCTTTTTCAGTGCATACTTAGGATCATCAGGGAGAACAAGAATAATCTTGCCATCAGGATACTCTCCCAGGATTCTCTCTTTCTTCCAGCCCTGGACCAGATATTACAATAAAGCTTTTGAGACATGGGTATGTAGTTATTTTGAGATTGTAAGCCCCATCCTAAACTGGAAATTAAGCAACACATAATTGTGTCTCTCAAATATTACACTATATACAACACACTATATTAAAGGCACAGCTAAATGTGACATTTGTGGTAATGGTTATAATTTTTGTAAAAGTTATAATGTTTTGTACACAACTTTATTGTAATGTTGAATGGCTAAATTAACTAATTTTATCCCAAAAACCAGTAAAAAAAGATGCCATTTAACAAGTATTTGAAATATAATGTCTAATATTGTTTCTAAATTAATTTGAAGTCACTGTGAAAATGTATTTATGATAACAAATTCTAATTTTAAGTGCAATTAATTCTGATTAATTACAGAAAAATATGTGATTGTACATTTAATGTTTAAAAAGTAAATGTACATTTAATGTTAAAAAATATTAATCACATTTTATATTAAGATTTAAAAATTATATATATATATATATATATATATATAATTTTTAATTCTACATTCATTTTTTATATTTTCTGACTGACTAAAACAACATCTTTTTGGAATGGTAAGTAACTCTGAATCACATAATAATAAGTATGTGGATAAGATGCAACAGTTTCTCTCTTGACTCACCACATATCTGACAGCACTGATGAACTGGTTGTGGAAGAGGAGGTGTTGGGATTCGTCCTCTGGGCTGGAAGGAGAGTACAGCATCCCACAAACGTTACACGTCACCACACCAAACGCCTTCTGACCAGCATCCTGTAAAGCACAAAAACAGCCATCACTAAATGCTAATGAGCACCAATGCTCCAATGTAAAATAATGATGGGCATGTTGTATTCTTTTCTAGGTTTAACTGTTTATACCAAAACAATCTCATAGTTGTAACATGGTATTCATTTATTTAACACAAAGTCTGTAAGTTAATAAACTAAAAAGAAAGAAACACAAGGAAATTATGATGAATTAATCCAAACGGGGATGGGGGATAAATTAACCCAAGCAAATACACAAAGTTTGTTAGGATATAAATGACTTGCATTGCCAGACTGTGTTGCTGTACTAGCAGGTTTAGGGCTGGTTGTGACCTCTTTCTTCTGTTCTGCTCCAGGTTCAACACTAGAATTTGCCATGAAATGTCAACAGAAAGGGTTTAACTCATAGATGTTAAACAGCTTTTCTATAGAATGATTTCTAGACTCGAGAATAGACTAGACTCATAGAACAGATGGTACTCTAATGACATTAATTCTTTTGAGAACATAATTTCAACAACACATTGAAAGCTGCAGTGTGCATTTTCTGCTCTAGCATCAACAAACGGAATTGCAAAAATAGTGAATTTCTCAAAAATGTATCCAGAACAAAATAATAGCACCTAAAACACATGGCATTGGTTGTGTCAGTGTTGCACAAAACAAACAGAGTAACACTCTAATACGCAGATCCACATTTCATTTATTTTCAGGCAAATAAAATCAAATATCTTACTTTTAGTTGCATATTAAACTGATAAAGCATTTTCACAAAAAATTACAATTCAACAGGATATTGTGCTTTTTCACAGACTGGAAAGCAAGTTTTTACTTTTCAAATCTTTAATGAAAGTCCTTTGAATTACCTGTTGCTGTTTTCTGTTTGCGTCTTTTGGGCAGGTTCTTGCTGGGGAGAGGGTTTCGGCTTATTTTCTGTGAACACATGCACCACAAAGTAGTTAAAAAATATATTTAAATTTTTTTTTTTAAATATATATGTATTATTACGCATACTGTCAAAGAGAATTAGTTTAGCATGTGTTTAAAGGGATAGTTCACCCAAAAATAAAAACAAACGCATCGCGTTGCTTCAGTAGGCCTTTATTAACCCCCCAGAGCCGTGTGGACTTCTTTTATAATGGATGTATGCAATTTTTTGGACTTCAAATTTTGGGCTACCATCCACTCCCATTATAAAGCATGGATTAGCCTGGACATTATTTAAAGAGCAGGTCATATGGTATTTTAAAGTGTCCTAATACTGTGTTGGAGTCCCCTACAACAGGTTTAAATGCATCTAAGGTCAGAAAACATTGTAATTTTCTCAGAATATACATCTAATATTAGAGTAATTTGCCAATGATTTCTAAACGGTTCGTTCCAAGCAAGTTCAGAGCAATCCCCTCCCTTCCATAAGCTTACTCTGCTCTGATTGGTCAGCTGGCCAAGCCTGCTGTGATTGGCACAGAGAGGAGTCCTTGAGCAAGTTAGCGAGCGCTACCATTGACAAAGCACCTTTACATATGTCTACTGTAATGTTTGAAGAACGA